ACCAAAAGGACTTTAAAATAATAGCCAATTAAATGAGTCGAAGGTCAACTTTGGTAAATTTGAATGCAAATATATTTGCTGCAACTCATTTAAAGCCTTCTTCTCTAATGAGAAAGGTAAATATGCTAGATATTATACTTACTGAAGGTGTGATGAGATGATTGAAGCTGTTAATTTTCTCCTTGATAATATTTATGTACGTTTCGGCAACACATTTTATCGACAGGTTGTAGGTATTCCTATGGGCACTAATTGCGCCCCTTTAATAGCAGACTTGTTTTTGTACTGTTATGAATCACAGTTTATGACCAAACTCAGTAAAGACCCGTCTAAATTGCAATTAATTGATAAATTCAACAACACTTATCGTTATCTTGATGACATTTTTTCGTTAAATAATCAAGAACTTTCTCAATATACTGCCGAAATTTACCACAAGGAACTTACTTTAAATAAATCAAATTTAAACGGTAACAACTGTCCTTTCCTAGATTTAGATATTTCGGTTTTACACGGGAAACTCCACACTAAAATTTACGACAAAATTTTTCGTTCCCTATTGTTAATTTTCCCTTTTTGGATGGTGATGTTCCTTTGGCACCATCTTACGGTGTTTATATTTCACAACGCATTCGCTATGCCCGTGTCTGTTGTGACGTTTTTGATTTTAACGAACGTAATCTATGTAGTACTGGTAAATTATTAAGCCAGGGATTTCGTTACCACAAATTACTTAAAGCCTTTACTAAATTCTTCCACAGATATACAGATTTGGTTTTGAAGTTTGGTTGTACCTGTAGAAAACTTATTTCAAACGGGATTGCACATCCTCATTTTTACGGCAATATTGTTTACCGTGCCCGGAAATTTAGAAACGATCCTGGTAAACTTATCGATCCTTTAAATAAACTTATTCTAAAAGGTTACCAATTCAACACTGTAATTAGATCATTAAATATTGTTTTTATTGGTACTTATATTGATTTTGTTATCAGTAAATTAAAAGCAAACTAAATATTATTGTTATATACATATACACATTCATGGATCTACAATCTGTCGATACCTGTATCTTGGCATTGCACAAGGTCATGTTTTTTCTCTGACTGTTTATGACGTCTTTACACTAAATCCATTGGATGTTGGATGTGTACGGATTGATAATTTAGTCTTAGATGCATGATTTTTTTTATTAGTTGTTAGTGGCTTTGAACTAGCTGTCAGTAACTGCGATTACTCTCAGATCTGTACTTAGTGTCTTTTTGTTGTTTGGATGTACAAGTACCCGGCCACGTTCACTTGTATTTGTAGTATTTGTATTTGTATCCATCTGATGAGTTAAGCCTCTTTCAACTGATTTTTATAGTTCGTTCTTATGTTGTACTGTTACTCCACTGTCCCAGGTTAGGGGGAGGGTTGGGATCCCGCTAAGATGTTTAACCCCGCCACATTCTGTATGTATGTGCCTGTCCCAAGTCAGGAGCCTGTAATTCAGTGGTTGTCGTTTGTTTATGTGTTACATATTTGTTATTCGTTCATTTTGTGTACATAAATTAGGCCGTTAGTTTTCTCGTTTGAATTGTTTTACATTGTCATTTCGGGGCCTTTTATAGCTGACTGTGCGGTATGGGCTTTGCCCATTGTTGAAGGCCGTACGGCGACCTATAGTTGTTAATTTCTGTGTCATTTGGTCTCTTGTGGAGAGTTGTCTCATCGGCATTCATACCACATCTTCTTTTTTATATTTACTACGTCTTCGGTTTCAGATTTGTAAGACCCATAATTCATTACAATTTAAAACTTCAATTGTTTGGTAAGGGCTATTTGACTGATACTCGAGGACGGATAACATTGTCTTTGAATTTTTGGGGGTATAGCATTTTTTGTTCACTACCATTAAATGTTAAATATATTTTAATATTCTCAAAAATAGTTGATAAATAGGCAATATTTTATATTTTGTTGGACAGTTGGTCTATCAAGGATAAAATCTAGTTCAGGAGGTCGATTTTTTTTCTATTAGTTTTCAGATCTCTCTTACAAAACTACTTTTTACAAATTACTACAGCTACCTTAATTAGATTGCAGTACTGGTACCTCATATCTACAAACCAAATACATGTAATGTCACCCTATCTACTGATTATTATCTCAGATATCCAAATTATTACAAAGAATGTAAAATAATTTCCCCCCTGTTTGGATTTAAACAGCTTGATAAATGTATCATTTGTGCAGTACAGTGACATATTCGGGGGAGGGGAAAGGGGGGATGGGTTGTATTACTGGGTAGTGTCGTCATACATATGTCTTTGATACATCTATCATGTCAAAATCATGATACAGAAGGAAATTTCCATATGCACGATTAGAAAACAAGAATCATTTACAGAATACACATTTCTTACTGGATAGAGAAAAATGGCCAATAGAATTACAGAATATAGAAAAATAGAACACGCTCCCCACACTCCCCCTTTCCCATTATCAAGACCCTCATATATCATTGTGACGGATAGTTTTGTTTGTTCTATTTAACTGTTTTTATTTTTGAAAAAAATATTTGTACGAGATGTTATAGACAATACCGGTATATGCCATGACTTCTCACACGACGTCGTACTTTCATTTTCTCTTCCTGTGCAATATATAAAACTCATTATGAGGAGCAATTTTTATGACTACTTGCATAATTGTTAAATCGTATTCAATTCTGTATCAAATTTATATTAATTTTAAAAGTTACATATCTTTAATATTAAAAACAGATTAAAATTATTTACTGGCATTCATATTGATATAAAAATATCCGGTTTGTTGGGTTTGTCTCAAAGTTGGTAAAATCACTCGAAACAAGGTGAGACATGCGCAGTAGTGATAGATATGTAGTATAAATATAGAAAATTGAATATTTTAATCAACAAAAAAAAAAATAAAAAAAAAAATGTTTGTATCATATACCCAAGCGCCTGTGAATATTGCAGAATACATTTACTAAAACAATTAAACACAAAAAGGGAGGACTAATATGACTTTGGAGCCTATATATGCATTGGTTGTGACGTTGTGTTCTTGTATTACTGTACCGTCCACTCACATATACGTCACTTTTAGTTTTAAGCAAAATAACCAAAAAATCGTGTTTCCGCTAACATGCTGACAAATGTTAGGGTCGATAGTTTTCAAAAGTTTTAAACTGATCTCCACAGGTGAGAGAGTTACACAATGACAAACACAAATTAATCCTTATAGGATGTCATGAAATAAAAGTTCCTTGACATAATATAAGTATAATTCTGTAGTATTATTTCCACTGGAAAACAAATTTTTTACCGTAACTGTTTTTATTCCTATCGGAATGAAGGATATAGAATATTTGTTCCAACAGGAACATAGAATACGGCATTTTCTATGAAAAAGTGTCCAAGGGAACTTATGTTAGATCATGTTAGGCGGAACAAATATACGTTGACAAGGGTAGGCAGTAGAATTAAGGTCGGTGTTGTTAGAAGCACATTTATTTTTTTAGGTCTAATTCATCTCGGTAGCCTTTCATGGCTGACTTTATGGTGTGGGTTTTGCTCATTGTTGAAGTTCGTACGGTACCCTCTAGTTGCTGAAATATACGTTATTTCGAATGTAACGGATAGTTGTCTCATTGAATACTACATGTTGCTATACAACAAATATAAATGCTGAATAAGATGTCAACAAAGATATACATGTACACGCCAAGGAAGTAGTGTGAAATTTTATTAAGTAAGCAGATATATCCTTAAAATTGTCACTACTATATAAAAGAACACACTTATCTTACTATTGTTTTATTCAGAACAAAAGCGGTTTTACGCTATTTAACTGCTAACAGTTGATATTTTCTTCATTTTTACACTTTGAATAACCAGTGATGCTTCGTTGTTTTGTGGTACCGAAGTCGACACGAGGTCGGGGTCAGTAAAGGCGAGTTAAGCTGAGTCCTACAAAAGACATAATGTAGAATGCATATTATGGCTGTGCTGCTTTTTCAAAAAGTTTTCACCCTAGGATTGACTGGGTTATAATAGAAATTCTGCTCTGGAATGACACACTGAATCAAATGTTTAATGTGCTTGCTCCGTTTTGTAACAGTCAACAGAAAGTATTATCACCATTTATTTTGATGGGTCCTTTAAAGAAATTAAAAAGAAGTAGAAACGACACAGCTGTCATCAGGTTGGAGACAAATGAGGTAACGGCGGTCAAATATTACGATCAGATCGAGAAGGATCTGGTATCAGATCAAGAGATACATGTAAGATCATTATGCCGTTAATTGTTCTTTATCATGCTTTAAATTCAAGGCAACACATATATGACGGCTGCAAAATGGACAAACAGGCGTTAATTTTAGGAATGTTTCCCCTCATCAATACTAAATTTACTTTGAGGTGTTTTGGGAGTTATTATTTTTCTTTTGTAGTTTTTTCTTTAGATCGTGGTATTTTCTTCGTGTAATAATTTTTGACTGCCCTCACGATATCGTCTATCTGTTTTATACAGGTGGAAATGATTTACTTCAATATCGTGCGGTCTAACATCATTTGTAACTATTGAAAAAAATCACAATAAATTATACATTTTTCATCGCATGTGAGCTAGTGGGCACACGTAGTTAAACACACAGGCACTTGTCTCTGAAATAAAATGTCCTATATACCTTAATATAACACAAGGTACTTAACTCGCATTTGAAAAATGACAATCGGTCGCGAACCTTTGTTATATTTCGATTCCTCGGTTGTCTACTCCACTAGAACTTATTTTGCCGAAATATTAAGCAGTGGCAACCGTCCGATCGAACACCTAAAATGTAGTAAAAGTTTAAAAATGTTCTTACCTTTTATAATCACGAATCAAAACATGCATGCCAGAAAGCTTCGCGGTGTTATTAAAATAAATAAATCTTCGGAATTGTGATATGTTTGTATTGTTTGTATTTCAGACTTAAAGCAATATATAAAATGTCTTCAATACCTGTGATAGATTTCCGAAAATATGGGCTTCATATCGAGAAAGCAGATTCTATACCTAGACAGGACTTGAAGGAGTTAGGAGACCAGATGTGTGAAGCTCTACAGAATATTGGGTTCTGTTATTTGAAAAACCACGGGATTCCTCATGCACAGGTACATTAAGTTTTTGTTCTCTCTAAAAGAAACTTATACTAAGTGTAGGTGTTGCTCTAGTGTTAATTCAAATACCACAATAACAAATAAAACAGACAACAACAACAACAAAAAGTCATTAAGACATTACAGTATCTTGTTGATACTATATTTTCTTATCAACTCTATATGAATGAATAAAAGCTAAAATCAAAATTTACATGGACTTTTTAACTCATTAAAAGTAGAAACTAATATAAATTAAATGTACATCAAATTTGATTTATATAATATTATTTCAGTTGAAAGAAGTATTGGAAATGTCAAAAAATTCTTCAGTCAGCCATTAGAAGAAAAAGAAAAATGTGCCAAACCAGATGAGGGTTATGATGGATGGATCGGATTAGAGAAAGAAAAGTTAGTTTTTTTTCAAAATTTATACGAAACTATTTACAATATTATTACAAAATAATGTATGTAGCTTCATTATATGTTATGCAAAAGATTTCTTATATAAAAATAAGGAGATGAGGTATGATTGCCGATGAGACATTCAACTTGTCACTAAAGTTCAAATAAAGTGGATGTAAGCAATTATAGGCAACCGTACGGCCTTCAACAATGAGAAAACCCAATACCGTATAGTCGGCTATAAAAGGCCCCGACATGAATAAATAGGAAACAATTCAATTGAGAAAACTAACGGCCTAATTAATAACCAAAAAAATTATTAAACGAAAAACAAATATGACAGACATGAACCAACGACAACAACTGAACTACAGGCTCCTGACTTGGGACAGGCACATAAAGAATGTGGCGGGGTTATGAAACGTCACCAGTGCCTGTGCAGAAAGTTGATGAACCAGGGTTATGTCAAAGAACTTCTCGTCCTTTTTCTTAAAAAGTTCATCGGAAGATACAAAGACTTTATTGATAAACATTCCTTATCAAATTCACAAATAATACATGATGGTCTTAAAGTATAGATTCTAAGTACTGACGTTGTTTATCATCTTAATTACGTGTGATAGTGTTCTTTTATTTGTCTTTGTAAATTATTACCTTTACTGTTTAGTCCATTTTTTGGTATTATCCCTTTGGCATGGCTCGGTACTTATACATCCCGTCATTGTGTTGTTGTGCTATGGTAAATTTTTATATTCTCGTCTTTCATTTTTGCTTATGTGCTTTGTCTATATGCCATTTTGTTTTTCTTTGTTGACATATTTCTTTGTTTTTATAGTGATTACATGTAAGATCAATATAACAAAATGTTGACTGCTGTACCCCTAATTTTGACATTTTTAGCTATTATGTCTGTTTGTTTTGTGCACACATTGTTGTCAATATAAATTTTATGCGACTGTCATACAAGTTAGAGGTTTAGCTAGCTATAATACCAGTTTAAATCCACCATTTTCTACATAAGAAAATGCCTGTACCAAGTCAGGAATATGACAGTTGTTTTCCATTCGTTTGATGTGTTTGAGCTTTTGATTTTGCCATTTGATAACTAAAGGGACTTTCCGTTTGAGTTTTCCTTGGAGTTTGATATTTTTATTATTTTACTTTTTAAACATGTTTGTGAGCGCTCAACCCTCCCCTAACCTGGGACAGTGGTGTAACAGCACAACATAAGAACAAACTATAAAAATCAGTTTAAAAAGGCTTAACACATCAGATCGATACAAAGCAGAAAAACATAAAAATTTGATATAAACACAGACCGGACATGGCAGGGTATTTATCCATCCCTCATCCCTAACAACAAAAAGGACACTAAGTACAGATCTGAGAGTATTCGCAGTTACTGACAGCTAGTTCAAAGCCAATAACAACTAATAAAAAAAAATCATGTATCTAAGACTATTAGTAAAATATCAATCAGTACACATCCAACAATGGATTTAATGTAAACACGTCATTAACAGTCAGAGAAAAACATGACCTTATATTTATTTAAAAATTTCCGATGGGTTACATTTTAGGTGAACTATTTTGGTCTTTTGGGGGTCAGACATTTCTGTGGGGAAAAAAGGACAACGAACGATTATATCTGTCTTATTTAATTAATAATGAGTTGACCTTTTTAAAAACAATGCATTATGCAAAACCATGAGAGTGGGAAAAATGTCTAAACTAATTTTTATGATTCTGTTCTACATTCCTTAAAATGTATGTTAAGATGTTTTTTACGTGTATTATATTTCAATTGTACTAACAAAACTAATTTTCCCTTGGCGATTGAAGAGTAACAGGGATATAACACTTTAAATATGGTTGCCTTCATCTCTCCTATCCGACAGAATGACTTATGCTGATTGGGGTTGGTGGGTGGGGCTATCTGCAATGCAACTAACCATTGCGACACCTTTTCGGGGGATCTGCTGAAGACAATATGGTATATAACAATATTTCTAACATGCTCTCTTGTGCGGTTGGGTAGCAGTTGAAATGTCCCAATCTGTATCCCGACCAACCCACTTTGCAGATTCCATTTAATCTTTTTATTGTTTAAATAAACTCATCATAGATACAAGGATTAAAATTGTATACGCCAGACGTAATTGAGCTCACCTGGCTTGAAGAACCAGTGAGAGCTATTGTCATCACTTTGGGTCCGTCGTGCATTTACAAAAAGTTTCTCCTTTGAAACTACCAAAATCAAAATAAGAAGATGTGGTACATGTATGATTGCCAATGAGACAACTCTCGACCAAGACCAAATGACATAGAAATTAAGCCTATTGCAGTTAAAATTGGTCACACTAATCCTTAAAGTATTTAAGTTAACAGAAGTTAAGTTGTATCCAATAAATACGCCGGTCGACCAACATGACTTGTCTTTTTTGTGAAAACGATAGTAAATAGAGAGAAACTATAATCAGTACAAATGTTTGGCAAAATAAGTTCTGAAAGTCAACACGACCGAAATCACCAGTCGTCTCCTTATAGGTGGTTTTGCCTTTAAATGATATCTTTGTATGTGTTGCTTTTTCAACGAAAATTATAAACAGCTAAAAATGTAAATATGCAAAAAAAAAAAAACAAAAAAAAACAATGAACGATACAGACTATTTGGCCTCTAGTTTTCAAGTTTCGATATCTTTAGGTCAGTTATAAGTGATAGTTTTTTTTATTCTATTTGATCCGACGTTGCTTATAACTTTAACACACAACAGGAACGTTATTCAAAAAGTAAATGAAAGTAATATTTACTATATATACGCCGGGACATTTGTAATGGTTGATGAGCTGGTCAAATTTAGGTACAATTGTAATTTTCCTCTTCAAGTTATATAAGATGTCTGTTTCAGACTGAATTTAGAGAGACCAGTAGGAGATTATAAAGAAACCTATAACATTACTCAAATATGCGAAGTAAGTAATATAAATATATCATTGAATGATGGTTGGATAGATGGAGGCCTGCATCTATACACAAATGCACAGATGGATGAATTAATACATGTGCATTGATATATAGCTGCTTGAATGTTTTGTTTTTTATTGTCGAGCCTGCGAAATTTATTTTGCTAAAGCGAGACAAAGCGATCCGATTCCGTCGTCGCCGTCGGCGTCGTCAACATTTAGGTTCAGTCTGTGCTTACAGTTCTTTTAGACATCAATAACTTTGTCAAGTCTACATGGAATTTTATGAAATTTGGACAGAAGCTTGTCAATGACCAAAATACAGTATCCAGAGCAAAATTTTGAAAATATATATTTTCATTAGTACGTATTTTACTGATAAATGGCCTTAGTTTTTTTTACAATTAACATTCAGGTTCAGTCTGAGGTTAAAGGTTTTTTTATACATCAATAACTTTGTCAAACCTACATGGAATTTTATAAAATTTGGACAGAAGCTTTTTTATGACCAAAAGCCAGTATCCAGAGCAAAATTTTGAAAAATATTGATTTTTCTTTTTCCTTATTTTACTGATAAATGGACTTAATTTTTTTACAGTTAACAAGTAGATACAGTTTGGGTTAAAGTTTGTTACACATCAATTCCTTTTCAAACCTTCATAGAGTTTTATGAATCTTTGCCAGGAGCTTTTGAATGATTGAGAGAACATTTCTGAAGCAAACCTTTGAAAATATATTTGTTTTCATTTTTAGTATTTTTCTGATAGATGGACTTCGTTTTTACAGTTAACATTTACAGAGAGTCAAGGATTAAATCTTTTTGACTTGATAAATTTGGAAACCTTCATGGATTGTTATGAAACTTGGACAGAAGCATATCTTCAAGTCCAAGAAATAGCATATAAAAAATAAAGTCTGATTTTTTTTTTAAATTCTGAATTTTACCGATAAATGGACTCACTTTTTAGCTCACCGGGGCCCGAAGGACCCCATGTGAGCTTATGCCATCACTTGGCGTCCGTCGTCGTCCGTCGTCTGTCGTCGTCTGTCGTCGTAAACTATTTCAAAAATTTTCTCCTCTGAAACTACTGGGCCAAATACCTTCAAACTTTAACTAAATGTTCCTTAGGGTATATAGTTTATAAATTGTATCCAAAGTTTTGATCCATCGACAAACATGGCCGCCATGGCTAAAAATAGAACATAGGGGTCAAAAGCAGTTTTTTGCTTATATCTCAAAAACTAAAGCTGTTAGAGCAAATCTGACAAAGGGTAAAATTGTTCAATTGGTCAAGATCTATCAGCTCTGAAATTTTCAGACGAATCGAACAACTCATTGTTGGGTTGCTGCCACTAAATTGGTAGTTTTGAGGAAATTTTGCAGTTTTTTGTTATTATCTTGAATATTATTATAGATAGATATAAACTGTAAACGGCAATAATGTTCAGCAAAGTAAGATCTACAAAAAAGTTTTTATATGACCAAAATTGTCAATTGACTCCTTAAGGAGTTATTGCCCTTTAAAGACAATTTTACACAATTTGTTCATCAAGTTTGCTAACATTTAAAAATCTTCACCTCTGAAACTACTGGGCCAAATACCTTCAAACTTCATCTAAATGTTGCTTAGGACATCTAGTTTATAAATTGTATCCGAAGTTTTAATCCATTGACAAACATGGCCACCATGGCTAAAAACAGAACATAGGGGTCAAATGCAGTTTTTGGCTTATATCTCTAAAACTAAAGCTTTTAGAGCAAATCTGACAAAGGGTAAAATTGTTCAATTGGTCAAGATCTATCAGCCCTGAAATTTTCAGACAAATCGAACAACCCATTGTTGGGTTGCTGCCACTAAATTGGTAGTTTTGAGGAAATTTTGCAGTTTTTTGTTATTGTCTTGAATATTATTATAGATAGATATAAACCGTAAACAGCAATAATGTTCAGCAAAGTAAGATCTACAGAAAAGTTAAATGACCAAATTTGTCAATTGACCCCTTAAGGAGTTATTGCCCTTTAAAGACAATTTTACGCAATGCGTTCATCAAGTTTGCTAACATTTAAAAATCTTCTCTTCTGAAACTATTGTGCCTAATACTTCTTAACTTTGAATGAATGTTCCTTTAGGAATCTAGTTTATGAATTGTATCCGAAATTTTGATCCATCAACAAACATGTTTGTTATTTTGATCCATCAACAAACAAAAATTGGTTGTTTTCAGGACATTTTGCAGTTTTTGGTTATTATCTTGAATATTATTGAAGATAAAGATAAACTGTAAACAGCAAAAATGTTCAGCAAAGTAAGATCTACAAAAAAAGTTAATATGACAAAAATTGTCAATTGACCCCTTAAGGAGTTATTGCCCTTTAAGGACAATTTTACACAAGTTGTTTTATGTTTTTTAACTTTAAAAAATCTTCTCAAATGAATCTAGTATAAATTTTGTATTTCATTTCCTTGTACGTCAAGAAACATAGACACTATGGCTAAAATGGAACATATGGGTAAAAAGCAAAAATAATCATTTATGAAAGATTTAAGCAAAAAAAATAACAGGTGAGCGATTCAGGCTCTTGAGAGCCTCTTGTTAAGTAAACATTACACTTTTACACTGACAGCAGCAATCGCAGGCGAGACACGGGGTATGCGGAATCCCTTACGATTTTTTTATTACTACATAAAATCATCAGAGGCAAGCCACCTAAAATAATTTTTTATCTATCTACATTATGTTGCGCAACATCGACTATAATTTTAGTTTATCAACCGAGTTAAAATACCAGAGTATCAGACACAATCTCCATATGTAGTACTATGTTTTACATCAAGTGCAGATTTCAGATACCAAGAAACCTGCAATTATATAACATTGTTTAATATATTATAACAGCGTTTCTCAAAACTTTTGTCACAGTATTTTAGGCCTCGTAAAGAGTTCACCTCCAAGCCTCTTTCACTACAAAATGTATCTTCTCGCTGTTACATCATTGCAAAGGTGTGACTTAAATACAAAAAGTATATATAAGCAACACCTAAAAGTTTTAAGTTACTTTGGAAATAATTTTAGAATATTGTCGGTAAATTTACGAACTTAAAGCACGATAGAAATGTTTAGTTTAATTTATTTTTGTGTTAACTTTTGTATATGAATCTTCTTTGACCTCGCAGGACCTTTTCTGTATTAAATCTTCGCGGAAGCGCAGAAGCTGAGATTATTTAAGAAGCCCTGATTTTAATTTTATCTGCTGATTAGGGATTTTTTATTTGCCGTTAGAATCACTGAACGTTCTTGATGCACATTATTTTCTCGTTTGTAATACTGATGTCAAATTATTCAGATCAGAAATACATATTTGTTTCTCGTTTGGCCTTTCGACTTTTTTATTCGGGGATCACTGATGAGTCATTTGTAGACGAAACGCGCGTCTGGTGTGAAAATATATATGCCTGGTATCTTTGGTGAGTTTATGTTAATTCTTCTATTTTTATTATACTTCATTTTCAAATTTCAGGTATGGCCGACCAATATACCAGAATTTGAGACAGTTTTAATGGATTTCTTACGAAAATGCATAGAACTAGCTTTAAGAGTTTTTGATTTTATCTCCGTTGGTTTGAATTTAGAGGTAATTGATATGACATAAAACATTTTTTTTTATTGTTTTAATATTATTATACACGTATATTACAGTTTTGATTATAATAATTAATAATATTAAACAATAAAAACTATTTTAATAAAATTCCACATTTGTATACGGTTTACCCCAACTTCAGTAGTATGTATTGGATCTTTATTTTTTCTGTTATATTTTTCCTTCAAACAGTCCATATCATATTATTCTATCTATTCGTCTTTCCACCATTAGGTATAAGTTTTTCGTTTTTAAGCTAGTTTACCATGAAGTGTCAACAAATTGAAAGTTTGTTCATGTTTATACTGATGTTTCCTTTTTACAATCCTGTCTCCAATTACAGAGAACAATTATACCTTTCTTTCATTATAGGACAAGAATTTCTTTCGAAACTGTCACAAGTTAATTGGACAAAGAGGAAATGTCACTGCTCTTAATTAGAAGTTTGTTTTATCCGGCTGTTCCAATGGAAAAAGGTGAATTTACCGTAATGTCAGTAAAATGTTCTACTGTTAGTATGAATAAAAGGAGGTGTGCAGATACGCCAATGAGACAGATATTCTACGACACAAATACAAAACAGTTAGAAGAATACGTAACATAATATTATGACTGCAAAACCTTATACATGAACGTGTAAACCAAATTATTTGTCACGTAAATGTAAAATTCATTATGATAATTATATTATTCCGTTTCTTAATTTAGACTTGTTGTTTTTCAATTCACAAGAACATTGTATATTTTCCAATTTCTAAACAAGAGATTAAATCAGCATTGTTTGCAGAAATAATGGAAGGCCAATTAAGATGTGGTGATCATACAGACTATGGTACACTAACGTTACTATTCCAAGACCTCGTCGGTGGATTGGAGGTATATGAATACTTACTGTATATATTTTTCCTAAATTAATTTAGATATTAATTATATATATTTAAATAAACACAAACTAGAGACTAATAACAAAACAAAAACGGCATTGTAAGACAAGCTAGGTAACTTCAGGGTAACTTACCAATGTCAATTAATTAATTTTGTCTAGTGTCACTTGTGAAGCAAAAAATTCTCCCTCTTCCGGAACACCTGGTTCTATCCCGTTTTTTATAGGGTTTATGTTGCTCAACAATTTAGTTTTCAATACAGTATTTACTTTTAACCACTGTGTTTTTTATGAATTTTATAGATCATTGTAAAACCGTCTTGCCTTTTATCTTAACTAATGATTTTTGATTGGTTCCTTGGTTCAATTTTCTCTCGTTTTTTAAGAGATATTGAGAAAAGCAGGGTTTTTCACTGTAAATGTTTGTTTGGGAAACATATGCATATTTTCATTCAATAAGGTCTACTTATTACCTGATAAAATATTCTTAATCTTACAGCTAAAGTATGATCATCTGCTCATTTCAAATCCTACTTTAGGGACAACTAAGTCGGCCAGACTTATGTACTCACAGAAATTGGAATGGCCGATCTCGGGAAAACTACTTACTGAACTATAAATGATTCTAACCTAAAACAAATATCCATAAACAAGTCAGCAACTTGACCACGGACATTGTCTCCCTTTTTCATAGTTTTAATCGAAAATAACAAATCTGTAATTATTAACTTCATGATACGTAAATTCATCAGGTTGTAACGGGAAGTGCTTGAAATTACTAAGTTTAAGAAATTATATATATATAACTATGATTATATACTACATCAGACATTTGTATCACACTTTTACTAATAATAGGACAGAACCATTGAATGCAATTGTGTCAAATTAGGTATAATTAATAAAAAGATCAGAAATACATTTATTTTTCTAATTCTTTGTAGTTTAACCCTACCCGAGCGGTTTTTATTTGTTATACGATTAACACACGTGTTCTTCTTTTCAGTTTTCATTAACTTATCAATATTAAGTTCAATTTTCTCTGCCAATCTCTAATTTTTCGTTATGTTTTCGTTAATAAAAGATAAGAAAAACTCTGTTCTTTAATACACGAAAGTTTCTGCAATCTGTATAAAAACCAAATCAACCCATTTTTATCGTTTACTCGTTAAATTATTTGGTGTGCAATAAAACATGTCTTACATTTTTGTACCTCGACAAGCCTTGTGTATTGAAAATTTAAGAGTTTCAGGTTCGACAATTCGTAACTCACTTGCAGCAGAGGCAAATTGTATACGTACATGTATATTTTTTTCTTGTCAAATACAGGTAAAACACGTGATGGGGATTATGTTCCAGCTACACCAATTTCTAGTACCATTGTTGTTAACATTGGGGATATGATGCAGAGATGGACGGTATTGCAACGGTAAAGTTTAACTTCTTTTTTTAAATGTGGTAGCGTGACTGTATGTTTGTTAATTTTATATTTTTATATATATTTCTTAATGTTTTTATTTTTTGTATGATTGGCTTATGTTTTGTTTCGTTGTTGTTTCTATGGGTGAAAGGGGCTGTTCTGCCTAAAAGATTTTGACCACAGATATAAAGCTTAATATATGTATTTTGTATGTTAAAATGTTTGTGTCGTACAAGAACACGTCAACTCATTGCAGTGTTCATACATGATACGATAACACAGAAAGACAGTGTGAATAAAATGGACAGATGCCACAGCTTTGACGATATCAACCAGTCAAAGTGCGCTCTTGAAAATGTCAAGAACTCAAATTGTTACATTTGTAGGTTTTGAAGTTTAGTATGAGTAGTTTCGTAATTGACTGAATCGTTTTACTTTCTTTTGTCTCCATCTACTATAGATCTATAGTTCAATCATACAATAACGTAAATATCCGATATTTTAAAAGGAAGAACGAAATCGGACAAAGAAAAAGAAATAGAGATTTCAAATGTCTATTGCAAAACGATTACCAAAGTTGAGAACAATTTACAAGATAACTTTTTTGTCTTCCAAAATACTTTTTTGACAGTAAATTAGTATTCTAATATAAACAAAACCAAAGCTACATGTTCAAAAACATGAATGTATATTATACTGTATACTTTCAACTTCAACTTTATTTGATCACTCAGACATATTACATACGTGTAACAAGAGGAATACAATATTTACATATATACAAACAATACAAAACAATGGTTGGTATAGAAAAAAAAGAGAATACATTATTATACAATAAATTTACAAAATGTTTATAAGTTTACTAATAAACAGTTATAACTTTTTTAAACTTTTACGTTACATAGTGATAATAAGCCTATAATTTTTTGATAACATGGATATATAGTAAAGTAAATAGGAATATGTTTATTTCGTATGTCTACGAAAGTCAGAAACTGACATTCAAAAAGGTAATAAAATTCAGTGCCGATTCCTATATGACATAAGTGGCATATTCTTTCTTCTTTTTTTCTATATAAAAAAGAGGGTCTAGATATTTTATCGAATGCCTAGATAACTAAGAAGACTTGATTACCTGTTGGAAAAATTGTTCATTTTTGATTCTTTCTACAACGAGTTGGTTGTTGTTTGTAATGCATGTTGCTGCAGTGTCTGTTAGTTTTGAACTTTTTAGAATATTTGTGTATTACTATTTTAATATGATAGCTCACCATATCGAAAAGTTTTGATTTAAGCTTTTGTCATCATTTGCTATTTGCTGTCCGCAACATTTTATGTCGTACGATATACAATTCTTCTGAATATACATAAAACACTTGCCACTGGACATGAAGCAAGCTTCAGTCAATAGATTAATTTTTATTTACAGAAACATTGTGTTTTAATTCCGAACGAAGAATCAATAAAACGACAGAGTCGACAGTCTGCAGCTTTGTTTGTTGTCCCGGATTCATTTCACGTCATCACGTGTTAAGACGATTCTGAGAAATACCCTTCTATCACTTGTATTGATTCTTTCTATGGAAAAGTTCATGAAAAATTCTGAATCGGTACTATTTTTTTTCAGTATTTTCATTGATATATCCGGCTAAATGCTTGGCTTTTCTTGCTTAGAATATGTAAATTGTTAATCCTATTTTTGCAAATTCATGGAAAAAAGCATAATTTCATATGAAGTGTTTACTTAATACTTTTACATCAAAGACTATTTTTAATATGTAAAACTCCATTGTAAACAACAGTATCTTCTACTTAGGAGAGACTTATTTTCCTCAAATGAACGAGATTTCGTTGGGTCGTGTTTGACAAATAAGTTTCATTCTAAAAAAAAAAACATATTGGCTAGCCATCATTAAGGCGAACGCATAGCGTTGGTTTATGTTAAAAAATAAATCAGTGGATTGGAAACTCACATATTGCAAGGACACCTTAATGTTTATCGTTGATGATCGTTTTTAGACTTATAGATATATTTTTTATCCGTTGAGCATTGGCATATGCCCATATTTCCTTTAATTGATACTTGACTGCAGTTGCATGTTGATATTTTTACTAAACAAATAAAACATAACAGTTACATGTATGTATTTCTGTAAAGTTATGAACACTTATGTTCCTACATAATGCCAATACTTATATGTTGCATTGCACTAGGCCATGCTTTTCGTGGACTGTTTATGACGTCTCGTCACAAAATCGGTTGAACGGGCAAAGAATAAGTGTTGATATTTTAGTCTTGAATACATGATTGTGGTATTAATTGTTATTGGCTTTGAATCTGTCAGTAACTGCGAGTACTCTCAGATCTTTACTTTGCGGTCCGTTTTATTTTTAAGGATGTATTAATACCCTGCCATGTCAGTCCGTGTTTTTGTTAGATGTATTTTTGTCTTTGTATCGATCTGATGAGTTAAGCCCTTTTCAACTGAATTTTATGCCCCCGCGGAAGTGGAGGGGGTTTTAAGTTTTACCCTTGTCCGTCTATACGTCCGTCCGTCCGTACATCCCGAATTTTGGTGGCGTCACTTTTACCGTTCTATACATGAAGTTATCCCTTTACAAATGGAAAAATTGCTGAATTTTTCATTTCCGTTCTCTAACTTAAGTTTTCCGCAACCAAATGTTATGAAACTTATACACAATGATTATTACCACAAAACACAGATCAAGTTTGAATTTTGGTGGCGTCACTTTTACCGTTCTATAGTTATATTCTTTACGAATGGAAAAATTGCTGAATTTTTCCTTTCCGTTCTCTCACTTAAGTTTTCCGCTACCAAATGTTATGAAACTTATACACAATGATTATTACTACAAAACACAGATCAAGTCTGAATTTCGGTGGGGTCACTTTTACCATTCTAGAGTTATGCTCCTTTACAAATGGAAAAATTGCTGAATTTTTCGTTTCCGTTCTCTAACTTAAGTTTCCCTCAATTAAATTTTATGAAACTTATTCACAATGATTATAACCACAAAACTCAGATCAAGTACGAATTTGGGTAGCGTCACTTTTACCGTTCTTGAGTTATGTCCCTTTATAACGTTATATGCAAGCGGGGGCATCATCTGTGT